GATTTTAAAAGATTTCCAAGATCTTAGTATTATACTTGTTTAATTCAGAGCCATTTTTAAACTAAATTCAATAAAAATGGCCAGAAAGAACACCTAGAAAGAATCAGAGGGTATGATAACTATCACTCATGAGATGAAATTCTCTTTAATTTTTGACAGAAAGGGGAAGAAAAATGAATGTCAGAAACAGTGCTCCCATTCTTGCTTCTTTACATATATATTTATAGAATACATATATATATTCTTAGCTGTATATTTTAAAATAAATTTAATACAAGTGGAGGGGGAAAAGGCATGTGTTTTGTTTTATTCTAACAGCATTTGCTCACACTTAAATCTAATTCTATTTGAATAATTTGATCAAAGGCAATATAAAATTTACTTAAGGAGTCATTTCTAACGTCTTCAACACAAAACCCAATGCTCTGTCTACTATTTGAAAAAAAACACATTGAGAATGAACAAAAGGTAAAATAAAGCCAGACTTCAGAAGAATATGATGAATAAACTTCTCCTCCTCTGATAATGTTATCTCAGAAGCTCCAAGCAATGAACATTTCAGAAGTGCTTGATGTCATAAGCTTTAAAAGCATATCTTTGAACCAAAATCTCACCTGACCAAGGAAGAAACACTGAAATCTAACAGCAAGTGACAAATACTTCATAGGCAAAAACAGAGAATTCAACACTCTTGAGATGAGCTCCAGAGGATAGTGACCTGCAGAATAATCAACTGAGCCAACAATCAACTGCACTCATGGCATCTCTGAAGTTATGAGTTTTTTCACAGACTCAATATCCATGCCAGTACTAAAGCAGCAAAACATCAGTGCCTTTACCTCAACCACATCTCACACAGGAGTTTCAGTGGCTGCTGAAAAGTACCCTGTGAGCACCAGTGTGGGACTTCTGCTCTGCTCCAGGTCTTACTCCACATCTGGAACATCCACTTCCATCCTCAGGGCAAGACTCTGTTCAGCTGCACTTGGCTTTTGGCATGGGGGACCTCCTGCATTTCACAGTGGAATGTACAGCAGAGACTTCCATTAATCATCCTTGCCTTATCTCTGAAGTACCTGAGTGGCACAGCAGACTGTGTCCAGCAGTATCATTTATCCATGTTTTGGCCTCACATGCAAAACCCCAATCCCATCTTTTAGAACATTTATACATATGTAAGTCAAAACTACTGCTACACTCGCATTAGTATCACAGTGAAGAACTTCCATGGTTTTGTCCAACATTACCCAAAGTAAACTGGAGAATTAATAAAATTAATCTTATCCCAAACACTCTTCTTGATTAGTTTCCCTCTATTCATTACTTTAATAAATTGAAGAGAGCAAGTCCCCAGGAAACAACGCAGCCCTTGGCTACTGCAAAACCAGACTCATCACACAACAGACCATTTCACCTCTTTTGACCAATTCAAGTTTATTATTGAAGATAAATCTCATAGTTTCAAATGGCAATGACAGCCACATCTTAAGTGTGCAGTGGAAAAAAGCCTTGTTTGCATATCACGTAGCTCCTCTTCTTCATAAGGAGTAGACACATCACCTACTAAATCAATCTCTCAAGATGGATAATAATTTCTCCCTCGGATAATTAAATATATGTGTGAATTTCACTAGTTGTGTCTCCACTGCATTCCCTGATGTTGATTATAGTTGGATCTTGAGGCATGATCTGTTTTGGTTTTGTTTTTTAATGCATGCTTTCTCAGAAAATCTGCAACAGGAATGCAGAAAATATAGGTAGGCCACAACGACAGTAAGGTTTTGTGACTCTTCCAGTGATGGTAAGCAAACTCAGGGAAAATACAGAAGTTCGTCTGTGTAATTATGCTGAGCCAGTGTCACAGCATACTGCCAAAGGTACCAGTTGATGTAGCAGACTCTCATTGGGATTAAACCCAACTACATTCAATCCTCTCCCCGGGAAACCTAAACTGAAAGCACAACCATGAGAAGGGCCAAGAAACATGACACATTAAATCCATTTGATGTTTCTTATCATTCACTACAACTCCTTATCTTTTTAACAATTCATGCAAGCAGACCTGGCAATGACTACTGGTAAGAGCTCAGGCACAAGGACCAGTGCTAAAATACAAGCATTATCTGAGCACTTCAGAGGGAAGAACTGAGAGCAGATTACAGCTCTTGTTTGTCTCAATATTCAATCTAAAATGAATAAATAGGAATGACACACTCAACTGGGTTGGGCTGACTAGAAAAATCCTGCTTAACTGTTGGTGTGTTTAATTTTACTTACAAGTATTTCAGTCAGTTCATGAACGCTACGCCCAAAAAGCCAAAAAACATGTCTGAGTAAACACAAAAAAAAATTAGGAATTAAACACAATTTCTGAGCTTGCTCTGACAATTCTAAATCAAGTCAACATCTTCTCTAATTATAGAGATTTCCATAGTATTAAACCAAAAATGCATACTATAAAGTTGAATATACTGTACTTTGGAAATCTCAGATTCAAAAGATACAAGCTAAGTGGGATACAGAACATTAAAGAGGATACTAAAATAGCCTTACAGCAAACCCTATGACAGCCACTCCTGAATTTATAAAATTAAGAACTACACACATTGTAAAATAAAATATAACTATGCAGGAAGGTTTTCTGACAAGTATCAAGTAAAAGATAAAGAAAACATGTGAAGATAAAGGGTTCTGATTAAAAACCTAGAAGTGAGTGTTCTAAACTATATCTTTAAAGACCTCAAGTCTTACCTTCCTCTTTCTTTTCAAGTTTTTAACAGAAAAAGAAGCATTCATTTTTTTTCTATCAGACCTTGCTAAAACTCGGTTCTTCAGCCACGTAAGAGTGAAAACCTGACTGTAAGTGAAAGTCTAGAGCACCATGTTCTTTAATTCAGTGATGGGGACCTTCACTAGATTATCTCATAGCTATAGGACAAGATACTGCAAAAGCCAAATGATACATCATTAAATTATGTTTTCTTCCTCTCCAGGCAGAGTGAGAACAGCATTAGATTAGTTTGAAGGACTAAAAAGAAAACGAGGAAGAGGGCTCTGCCACATGAATCAGAAGTGACAAAGCTAATACAATTTTTAAACTCCTTTTATTTATATAATCAGGCATAAGCATTTACTTATGTTAATTGTGGAAACCTCTAATGTAATACAGAGCCCAAATGAATTCCACATCACTGCATGCTTCAGTGTTTCATGATCTCCCTTGCACATGCCTAGTGAAAGTCTGCCACTCTGCAACAGACGAAGGAATTACTACAATAAAACCATAGGCAGATTTCGCTACAAACTATATTTTTTGATACCAGACAGAATAAGCTGAGTGTTTTAAGTAACAGATAGGTTTGCATCCCACTGTCTAGCAACAGTTATTCTATTTGTGTTTCACAGCATCTTCAGAGAGTCAGAAATATGAACCACAGGAACACTATCCGTAAACTGCACTGAAACAAATGACATTCCCCTCAGCCAATTTACCCTCAATAATCTCCATCAACCATTACAGGAAATGTTTACTTTATCATTCAGCTATAAACTTGAGTTAGTTACATGTTCACCGTATGGACATTCCAACATTTTTTATCATATCATGTCAATATTGTATTTATTTAAAAAAGTGTATTTCAGTGCATAAAAAGGTCTCTTGCTGCTGACAAATCAAAGTGCATTAACCTGGGAAGCCTTAAGACTGCCACACACACCCACACACTCCTTTCACTTCAGATCTCACTGATTAGAAAATGAAATATCCAAAACTCAATAGACGTTTCATGCACACTGGCATTTTCTGCAGGACATGTTTCCAACACTGCAACTTATACTTTCATCACCATTAGCAAGTTACTTCCTACACATATACCATGCCCTGCTGAAACTATCATACTCAGTGGAACTGAGCTCCTAGTGAAACATCAGACCTTAGCTATAAATCTGTGTAAATGCTTTTATTCTGTGCTGCTTTCATGTTAGAACCCAACATGCATCAAGGTCACTGTAATAGATTGCAGTTTTCAGGCTCATAGAGATGACATGGAGGAAATCAATATGAGCAAACTTAATTAAACACTGTCTAAAGTTCTGCCTTCTCCCAAACCTGCCCAGAATTCACATATCTATTCCCTGCATTTCAGAGACAGGTGTTTCATAGATATGGGAAGGCAGGCAGCTTAGCTTATATGTTATCACTGCTGAAAAGTGAACAGAACTCATTCTTTACAGTGTGACAGGTCTGCTCTGAGCTCTCTGAGTTTTAGCTGGAGATTACAGCCCCATGGGCCTCCTCCTTTGAAGTGGAGTTCCTCTGAGAGCAGAATTAGTCCCCTGCCTGCAACCTGTCCTCCATACATTGAAATAAATTACAGTCAACTTTTTTTTCGTGGCTATGTCAAGTATAGCAATAAATATCCACAGGCTAAAAGTAGGCAAACAAACAAGGCTGGACAAACCATAACCTCACAGCAAGAGCATCTCAATGGAAATCCCTAGGCAGGGCACAAAAAAGTTATAGGCAAACAAATCAAAACTCGGGGTTCACTGTCTGAATTCATAAGTGAGTATGAAAGGCTGACATGCATTCTGCCTCCTTCCCACAAGAAGCACTGATAGAAAGCAATTAAGCAATTTAGATAGAAAGCAATTTAGTTACAGCTCAGCACAAAGGAGAAGGCATTTTATATTAACGCCTGTAAGAAGGCATCATCTCTTAGAGTTGCAGAAGCGGGAAGCGCTGGGACATGGAGCTTCCTGCCCGGCTGTGCGCCGGAGCACCGCATCGGCGGGATGCCCGCGGCGGACTCCGGCGGAGTTGGAGGGGGCTCCCCTGCAATCCCGGCCACCAGCCTCCCGCACCTTAGCCCCTGAGAACTGCCGCTGGCGCCGCCGACCATCCTGCCTCCAAACCAGGAGCGTGCGACCAGCGGCTGCAAAAAAAAATCGCTCGAGACGAAGAGAAGGCAGCGAAAAGGCAACAGAAAAGGAGCGCTTACTTGCCTATACAGCACAGCCGGACGACCTCCTCGCAGCTGGTGAAACGCTGTGCCGCTCGCCCTCCTCCCACCGCTCCGCGCTAGTTCCAAAATAATTCCACCGGGCGCCGGCACATCCCCGGGCTCAGCCGAGGAGCGCAGGGAGCCCGGCCGCCTCGCCCCCCCGCCCGGTGCCCATGGTGCCAGCCACAGCCCCGGCAACTCGCGATCCTTCCCGCCGGCGCTACCTCGGGGCGGGCCGCCGGCTAACACGGCATCGCACCCCAGCCCCAGCAGCCGCCGCGGGCTCGAACTCCGCCGCCGTGCCGAGGGGGGAGCGTGGGGGTCCCCGCACCCTTCCCGGAGACGAAGCGGGGGCGCCGGGCGGGGGAGTGCGGGGAGGCAGCGCCGCCCCTCCGCGGCGGCGAGCGGCCAGGCGAGGCGCGGCCAGGCGAGGGGAGGCGAGGGGAGGCGAGGCGGCGCCGCCGCCAGCGCGGCCGCAGCCAGGCGCGGCGATGCGGCCCCGCCCGGGACCCCCGCCCGCCCCCTCCGCTCCCGGGGCGCTCCGTAACGCCGCCCCGCTGCCGGCGCCACCAGATCCGGTGACGCGCAGCCCTCCCCCGGGCGGGCCCCCGCGCCGGAGAGGGGCGAGCGGGCGGTGAGGCGGGCCCCGTTTCCGACCGGCCCCGAGAGGGTGAGCTGAGACCACCGGTGAGAGCAGCCCGTCCCGCCGTGGCGGCCGGCGGCCCCCGGCGGGCAGGGGCAGCGAGCTCCCGGGCTCGGCCCTGGAGCTGCCGGCCCGCCGGGGGGCGGCGGTGTTCCCCTTGGTCGCGGGAGTGCCCGGAGCCCGTGGAGCTCTCCTCGGTCCTGGGGGGCTGAGGCTGTCCTCTCCCCATGCCACGGTGGGAAAGTTATCCACCCCCCTCCCACCTCAGCGAGCCTCCGCTTTTGCTCGGCTGCCCCGGCTGCCTTTTCTCCGAGCCGTGTGACTGGGTATAGGCTGGTCGCTCGCCAGAGGGAACGTACATCGACCCCCATATTGGGAAGAAATTTGGTGCCGGTTCTACCACTTTGCCAAGCTGGTTTGGCGCGGCAGCTGCGCTGCCTTCTTCTCCCCGCCTCGTCTCCCAGCCACTAACCCGGGGCCACGGCTCTGCGTCCCCGACCCCGCACCGGCGAACATCCAGCCCCGCTCTGCCGGGCTGTCTTGGATAAGGAGGGGGCCCAGGGGAGCAAAGGGGTGAGGGACAACCTCCCCTGTGCCTCCCTAAAGCCCTGCGTGGTTCTCGCCCTCCTGCTCCACACGTCCGTGCTTCCAACAGCGCAAACGGCGCCTCGCTGAAGATCCCCTGCAGGCATCGCCGTCCCCGTCGGACAGCGCTGCGATGACACAGAATAACTCAGCTATGAGTCATTCACACGCACACACCCATATATATAATACATATATATGTATGTATATGTATGAACACACCTCCCGCGGCCGCCGCGGGGGAGCCGCGTGTCGCCGCGGGACGGGGCCGCCAAGCATCGACCTGCCCCCGCGAAGGCAGAATTAACGCAGGAGGAAAAAGGAGCAAAAGGGAGCGCGGGGGAACCCGCCGCCGGAGCCGCCTCTCAGCAGCCCGCTTCCCTGGACGGTGCCGGCAGCCAGGCCCGCCGCAGCGAGCGCTGCGGGATGCTGCGGGCAAGGAATCCCGCGGATCTGAGGCTGCTCAGCGTAGCGTCCGCACCTGCTTGTTCTGCGGGAGAGCCAGCCCGTCGGGGGGCTTTTGCTAAACTAGGAGTGGGGGGATCAGCCGTGGTCTCATCCGCATCCTCTGGGCCCCCTTCCAGCTCTTGGAAATGTTTTTCGTCAGTTAAGCTGAGAACGTCAGGGTGGGTGGTCACGATTAAAGTCCGGTAAAAGGCGTTTGAGCTTTGCTTTTCTGCAGCTCCTCCGATACCCCTTTTCCTGTTAACTGTTCTAAGCTCCTTGTAATGAAAAGTGATTTTCACAGGCATCTTACAGTTAAGGGATCTTCTTCAACCAAGCTGGTGCAAACAAAATGTTTCTGTTCATTATGAGTTCCTTTTATAAATATTATCTTCAATAATGTGCAGTGAGCCATTTGAGGGGGGAAAGGATTTAAAAAGATGGCTTCGTGCAGGTTAAATGCAAAGATAATAAAGTTGCTTTGAAGAATAAAGTTAACTGTCGAGTTGATAAATGCATGAGAATATGCAGTGATAGGTTTCATGCCTAATTAAACAGATTTCTACTATAGTTCTAGTCTCGAGATACAGATATTTATTTTTTCCCTGTTTCTTTATACTATATTGATGTTAACAGAGTTCTTGATAGCTACAAGCTAGCCAAGATATCCACTCTATTGTGATTCTACTGAAAGACTGACTGGTTTGAACTGACAGTTCTCCTGACAAGAGTGAAAAAATAAATGATCACAACTATACATATGTTAAGACTGGGATGATTGAAATATATGTCTGAAAATTGAAAAAAATTAAATGTAATGAACCAAAAACTAATCAAAGACAGAAGTGAAGTGGAACTGTAGCCCTCTTCACTCATGCTTTGCTGAGAAAGTCAACACTCAACACTAGAGAGCAGTTTTAAAACAAGTGGAAACAAATAGTATTTTATGATCTTTTAACTACTCTACCTAGAGCCAGTCCCACATTCCAGTTCCAACAGGGACAACCTCCTCAGTTTTCAGTATTGAACCTGCCTTTACATACCTCAAACCAGGGTATAGATTAATTGGTACATATATTCCCCTGTCTGTAGGAAGATCTGACATCTTTCATGGAGACTTCTTCTTTCTTTGTGTGATGATGAAGGGTAGGATAGCTTAAACAAGAAAGTAAGTTTCATTTCACAAGAGGAAGCTGTTATATTTTTAATGCAGGATCTTTCAAACTATTGCTACATTTCTTAGAATATGTAAATGTTACAAGTTTCATTGTCAGTAAGACTATGCTAGAGATGAACTCTACTAAACCAGGTGAAAAAAGTGTGCAGTGCTTTTAATAATTATCGAACACATTATTGTATGAAATAAGCGTGACAATTTTACACATAATTAGAAGGTGACATTTATGTTGTATTTTTGCTTCAGGCAGCACAAACACAACAGAAGATTCTTACATATATAGAAACCAGATATTAGATAAACTTATGATGTAGTCAAGAACATCTTTAAAGTCAGAGTGGGTGAGCCAGAATTGGTTTTGTGTAGTTTGGGAAATGTTAATTAAGAAATTTCACATAACAAGCTGATGGTAGATTGGCTCCCGTTCTAGATTTTGCAGCTTCAGCAGCCTGGCACCACTTAAGTCACCAACAAGGGTGGAGTGACAAAGGAGGAACAGCATTAAAAATGGAAGAAACAGAGGCTAAACAAAAAGATAAAATTGCATTGTTTAAGAAATATGAGAATGAAAGGAATAAGGTCACCCAACAAGCAAGCAAGATCCTTTGTAAAACTTTATTGACTATCTATCTGCAATAGGTCATTTGTCTCCTTTTCCCATAGCAAAATTACTATAGCACCCAATCTCTTTTTTTTTTTTTTTCTACTGAAAGTATAGCTCACTTTGATTGTGGGCGGAGATTCTGACATTTGGAAGCCAAACACTGATGTGTATGTCTGTCACACATGAGCCTATTGGTGAAAGTGCTAGGAAATAAAGAGCAGAGAACTAAGGCTTTGAAAAACTGCATGGGAAAAGAAACTACTAGTAGCAGGGGGGAAAATAAGATGAATATATAAGAAAGATGTTAAGATGCTTTGGGAGATAGAGTGGAGAGTGTTTTTATCCATCACTGCAACATTGGATTTTCTGTTCATGTAGCAGGTCCTATCACCTCTGGTAACACACCATGGCTGATGGGTTATTAATTAACTGTGAGAATAGAATTAATCTATTTTCAATATCCACTTTTGGAAAACATAATCAGAGTAGCAAATGTAACACCCTCTAGGACAGGTGTCACACACTTTATAGTAAGTAGGTCACAAGATCATCTAAAGCTGTCATCATTGGTACTTCCTATACTGAAGTACAAATGAGGAGCACATTCCCAATTTCTGATGGCATTGTTTAGTTTTTAATTTCCATTCCCAGACTGATAATAATCCACACAACCATGTCCAGAAAAGTCTATTAATATATTCCTTCATTTCCCCACAATTAGACTAAACTAAGCTTCACAAAAATACTCCATTTACCAGTATCTGGCATCCTTATGTAAAATAATGTGTCATTTTTCACCATGGCTTGTAATCTGAAAATCTGACTGGGGAAATGATGGAGACCAAAATAACTTCTTACAGTCTGTAGGTGGCCAAAAAATCTGCAGCTATATTCCATAATATTCTTTGCTGCTGTGATTTGTTTCTCAAGAGCTCTTGTCAATCCGTTTAAAATTCTCACTCACATAGGCCCAAAGAGAGACATAGGGGTTTGTTCAGACTGGAACCAAATATGCTTATATATTAAAATCCTTCTTTTCACATGTAAACAGGATATTAGCAATTCCATAAATTCTACATGAATTTTTACTTTGAAATTTGAGGGGTTTCAAATCATCTCAAAGCTTGGAGTATTTAAACCCATCTATATTGAAACCAAACAGCAGAGAATCTCAAAGAAGTGAAACTGTGAAATTCATAGTTTTAATTTTCTCATTAATCCCAAATTTTACACCGAGCCTGTGCATCATATTTAGTACTGTTATTATTTATGCTAGTCTATAATTGGTTTGCATCTCATTAATGGATAAAACTGTAACAAAGGATTTTAACTACTTTCAAGGAAATTATCTGCAGAGTTATCTTCCTTAGTAATTACTTTATTAAAATCAATTATCGCATATTAAAAGGGACATGTAGCAAAGTGTAGGATCTAAGAAAATTATCAATTAACTTTTTCTGTATTATTCTCAGTAAAAAAAAAAAATCTTTGCATTATCACAATTATCCTATTTCATCACCATATGCATCTAAAAATCAATTTTACACATAGCAAAGTTTGAAACTAGTTTCTTTTTTCCACTTGGAAGAAAAATAACTGATAAAAGTATCTTTTGAAAATAAACTAATACTCTGTAGAATTTAAAAGTCTCCATAAGAAAATTAAAATATAAAAGATTACTAAGGATGGGA